ACTTCTCTTCTGAAGTAGCATGCGCAGCACCTTCTAGTACTATGAAAACTAGACAGTAGAGAGGATGCATCCAGGTCAGTTCCAGCTTGATAGCTCTGTTGGTTCTATGACTCACATTTGTGTCTTACTGGTGAGTAGGCAAGAGCAATGGGGGTAACCAATATTGTCTGAGGGTCTATGATCCTCCCTGGCCAACAACTCCAAAAGTGGGTGCTCTTTCTTGGCATTTGTCTTTTTATTTGCTAGCCTATGGTGTCTGGTAGGACCATTGCACCTATGTTATAGGGTAGCTATGTTTAAACTCTTTTGTATTGTATATGAATATATTTTAAGAAGCCTCTACAATAGATTTCCTTATGACTTTTTCAAAAGGCCTTTAATGTTAGTTATTCCTTACTTTACTCTCTTCTCTGCCCTGAACTCCCATTTTGCATCCCATTTAGAATGCAGTGATATAAAGAGGGAGAAAGGAATAATGGGAAAGAAGGGTGTATCCATTTATTTTTTTCTTCATTCCTACTTCTTCCTACCAACAAACTCTTGGTATTCATTTGAGGAAGAAACTGTGTTGTTGTCTTAGTTTTTTCCTGATCTTAATACATGCAATTTATTATCAAATTTTAGTATATGTAAATTAATATTTATATTTGAAAAATTATTTTATTTTTATAATTTCTTGTCCATATTTCTTTATTGCTTATAAATAATATCTTTAGTATATTCTTTGGAATTTTCACGTGTTTACAATATATCTTATGATATACACATTCCATTCCTCCCCTCCAATTCCACTGAGGCCCCTCCAACATATGTCCTTCCTTCCGTCTTGTCCTTTCTTATTTTTTTTCTTTTAATATAACACACTGAATCCAATTAGTGCTATTTGTGTGCACATGGGTGTAGGGCTTTTCTGTAAGGTGGAAATTTGGTTAAGTTGATGTTTGAGTTCTGGAAGAAGGTAGCTTATAATTCTGTTTTATTTGGTTAGCATGAGTCATAAAGCCTCATTATGTCACTTTTCTGGTGAAATTAGGAGCTGTTTCTTTGTATATAGATTGTATATATTTATTAGAGCAGAAATCATACCTACTCATAGGTATGGGGCAATATATGTAGTGAGTTCAAGGGAGGAGAAATAGTCTAAATTCCAGGACTACCTGCTTAGGTGACAACGGCGAACTTAATCTCCCAAATATTTCATCTCACCACAATCAGAGCCTCCTGGGGTTAGAAGAGTCTCAGAGTGAGTACGTGTCACATGAGCCTACTTCATTCCAATGTGCTGCCCTAAAGAAAAATTTTTATGGAAAAATCATAAAAGAAGGTCTTTAATTGGCAAGAAAGAGGGCACCTCTGTCTAGAATTCTAATTTGGTGTATGGTATTAGAAGTCAAGAAAATATGAGGCTAAGCTTATACCCTGTCCTAAAGTAAGTAAAAGGAGACAGAGAACAGTACATTATATTAGTTTTGTAGAAAATATCATGACATTTGTACCAAGAAGACCAAAGAGAGTAGACTGAGGTGCAAAACTAGGGTCGAGAGAAGAGAGAAGATGACAGAAATGTCAGTTAGAACAAAAACACTTTTTTTCAGTGAAAAATGAATGTTGATATGTCATGGAGGAAGAGTGAAGGAGGTTATGGAGAAACATTTCAGGATCTTGGATGCCAGGAAATGTGACAGAGGCTCTGATTTTGAAAAAATAAAAAGGAAGGTTTTATTTATACAAAGAGGAAAATGAAGAATAAGGAGGTTAGGACGTGACCATCTCGCTCTCCTTCCTCCACGATTCTAGTTATTCTCGAAGCATCAACTGGGAGCTGAGACATCTGAGGATTCTTTTTTTCTTATTGCAGCTTTGTTTAGTTTATTGATTTGAGGTGGTCCAGTGCTGTCTATGTGGGTCTCTTCAGGCATCTCCTAAGGAACTCTCCCTCTCTCCCTTTGGCTCCAGCACCCTCTATCTCTCCAAGTTATCTGGATGAAATCCACAGAGCTCAGGATCCAGTGGTAGCAATGCTGATATTTAAGAAAAAGAAGAGTTCAGAGATAAGTCTCTGAAATGAGCCAAGGGCACTTCTACTGCTTGTTACCTTTGTTGAATAAGAACTATATAATATAAATATAGTTTTAAGATACTGTTTAGTTTTACTTGAAAGAAAATGAACTCTTTGTTACTATATTTTTATCTTAATAAGGGAAAGGTAACAGTTTAGTGTCTTACTTTTTGCAGACCATTGTTATTCATTTTATCCTTATCCTCATGAAGGGCCTTAGTTCATGTTTTCCTTCATGCGTGCCCCCATGTTGACACATGAGTGTGGCTGTGCCTTGAATGAGTAACTGTATTATAAGAAAACACAGCTTGAGCTAAATCCACTGACATGGAATGATACAAGAAGAAATGAAGACAGAATAAACACTGGAAAAGGTAAGTCTTTTTTTTTAATCATTCAAGTTCCTGCTTTATAGAAATGTTTTATTAACTTAAAAGGTCAGAACATATGTGACTGAGGAGATTTAGGAAAACCAAAGTCCAGTCAAGTGATTGTGGATATTCTTCAGGAAAGTGTGCTAAAGATGTTAAGGAAATCTGCTACCCAGTGAAACAAATGTCTTTGTGATAAAAGACAGTACAAACATCCACCTATTATCTAAGAGTGCAAAAGGCAATTGATTCTTAAAGCATCCAGAGGAAATGTCCCTGACTAATGCCCTTAAATATCTAAGTCCTTCTGTGACTAATTATTTATGGTGGAAATAGACATCTTAGGGAATCACAGCTGTATGCGACTGTCTTTACTGTAGTATTCAGCTTTTTCTTTTACTCCGCTATATTACACAAGGAAAATATAAAACAATGAGTGGGAAGAAAGGAAAACAATTAGCAGATACTACATTTCAATGGAGTTTTGTTTTTGTTCTTTGAGACAGGTACTTTCCAGCTGGCATGGAACTTGTTCTCTAGGCCAGGCTAGCCTCAATCTTACAGACATCTGCCTGCCTCTGGAGTTCTGAGATTAAAGGCATGTGTCACCATGCCTGGCCATTTCAGTGGATTTTTTAGAGACAAAGAAAGTAGCCATGAGATATGCACCCCATTAGAATGCTGGCAAAGGATTGCAACGAGGGAATGTGATTGTCTTTGGACCATATACCAGAAATAGTCAGTTGAGTAGGGGAGAGAGAGAGAGAGAGAGAGAGAGAGAGAGAGAGAGAGAAAGAGAGGGAGAAACAGGGTATGGAATAATGGTGTGATGACCAAAGAGAATGTGTTCCTACATTGGAACAAAACAAGCTGTTCTACATACATCCTTTTTTCACCCTAGCTTAAAACTCACAGTCGTAGCTTAAATTGCTGGCACATGCCTTTAATTCCAGCATTTGGAAGGCAGATGTAGGTGGCTCTTTGTGACTGAGACCAGCCTGTTCTGCATAGCAAGCTCCAGGTCAGCAGGGGCTACAGGGAGACCCAGTTTCAAAAAATTTTTATTCTCAATTTCAATTTTCTTCACAGCTTAGTAAAATTCCATTGTATTTATGTGCATATATATAAGACATTTTTACTTCCATTCATCTATTGATGGGCATATAGATTGTATCCATTTCCTGGTTGTTATGAATATTGCAGCAATAAATATGGATGTTCAGATATCTCTGTTCTAAGATGTAGAGTCCTTTGGGTATATGCCTAGGTTTTATATAACTGGGTGCTCAAATGAACCCCAATCCTGTATTTTTTAATGAAAATTATTAAAATAAAATAAAAAAATAAAAAAATACTCTCTGAAGTGTACTCACACTGAATCAGTGTAGTATTGTAAAGAACAAATAAAATTGTAAAGGACTATAATATAGGATATAGACTGGAAGGACGATGAGATGAACATCTGAGTAAAATATTAATAAAAGAGGGTTAAGGGTCACTCAGTAACAATTTCAGAAAAATGCAAGAGAGAAAGTTAAGAAGCTAGAGCAGAAAGTTTCTCAGAAAAGAAGAGGGACATGTATCTGTCAGATTAAAGTTTTTCAAATTCATTCATCAAGAATTAATGAAGAACTTACATGATGCATATCTTTAAGAAATTTAGTTGACATGAATAAAACAACGCCAGGAAGAAAACTAGAAAAGAATATAAAGTCAGACTGGAAGCAAAGTTCTTAAAACTGGTCTCAGGTAAGAAATAAAAAGTAATGTTTTTAGTCCTCAAGTGTGAGTTTATGTAAAATGATAATATTCTTGACATGCCTAGATGAAGAACTTCTGCTACAATTATTATATTATTTCAGATTTCATGAATACATACAGAAAATGGGTGAAAAGTAAGAATCAAAATCTAAAATAACCATGAGAAAATTCAGGAAGGAAGACTGAGGTACTTTGGAGAGGATGGAATTTCATGTAGTGCATTAGAAGGCCAAAGATACCTTAAGTTGTTAGCACACAAACACATGTATATAAACAGGTAACATATTGTTTACATGCATAGAAGTATGGACTACTCAACACTTAAAAGTAAATATGGAGTTTATGGTAAGTTACCTTTTTACTATACGTTCTGCTATAGCTATATTTATTATAATATTTCCCTCCTTTCATATGGAAATACAGTACTCCATCAAAGTATTTGTGTAGCAGAATTGAAAGTTATCACTTTGGCATACTCGCTTGAGTTTTTAGAGTGAAAGTAGGACCTGATCAGTAATGAGAATCTCATCCATTGGAAAATTATATTTTTATGAAAAATTAGTCATTAATAAAGTCAGGGATTGAATTAACCAATCCTCCTCTCATCCACAGTAAGTTTAGTAGGCTTAATGGAACACTGTTACCAAAAGAACAAAGCTATGTTTCTTGATGTTTAAGTTAGGACGAGAGCCTCACTCTTTTGAGTGACAAGTTTAAGGTAGAGAGACTCTGGGATCTGATTGAACCTTGACATTTTTCTCTTCCTTTTCCAGCTCTGATCTTCTTTGTAGATGATGTAACCATGTCTTATGGCTGCTGAAAATAGGACAGAAGTGACTGAATTTGTGTTGTTGGGCTTGTCCAGCAGACCAGAGATGCAGCCAGTTATTTTTGGAGTTGTCCTTGCCATGTACCTGATGGCAGTCATGGGCAACGTCCTACTAGTAATTGTTGCTTGCTCAGACCCCAGACTTCAGACCCCCATGTATTTCCTTCTCAGCCAACTTTCTATGATTGACATAACTCTACCCACCATCATTATACCTAAGATGCTGGTACACACACTGTCTGTGAATCGAACCATTTCCTATAAGTCCTGCATGATACAGCTATTCTTCTTCATGGCTGTGGGCAGCATGGAAGTCTACTTGTTGGCTGCCATGGCATATGACCGCTATGTTGCCATCTGTGAACCTTTACGATACTCTGCCATTGTCAGCCATCTCCTCTGTCTGCGCATAACCTTGACCTCATGGGTGGTTGTCAGCCTTAACAGCCTCCTATATACTCTGTTGGTCACCCGTTTAACCTTCTGTGGAAACCAGGTGACCCACTTCTTCTGTGACATCACTCCTCTGCTTAAGCTCTCCTGCACCAGACCAGTGGTCAATGAAATGCTCATCTTCACAGAGGGTGTAGCTGTGGTGGGCAGCCCCTTCTTCTTCATTTGGGGTTCCTATGTCCGCATAGGTATTGCCATAGCCCACATGCACTCAGTTGCTGCCTTGCACAAAGCTCTGTCTACCTGCAGCTCTCACATCCTAGTTGTTTTGCTGTTTTTTAGCTCTTTGGCTCGTATGTACCTCAAGCCATCCTCCAGCTATGACTTAGAAGAGGATCGGCAGGTTGCCGTCTTTTACACACTAGTCACTCCTATGCTAAACCCACTAATCTACAGCCTCAGGAACCAGGAAGTTAAAGGAGCTCTACGAAGGCTTTTTATGAAGCTCTGCATCTCAGGCAACTTCCAGCCTGGCTCCCAGGCAAACAAAGAATGGCAGCACATCTCCTGAGAGCAAAGGGTTAGTTTGAAATTATCTCAGTTAGGTGGGCTAGTCTCTTAAACACTGATATGCATCATATTCCTATGGAATAATCTTTGTTATTCATTCCCTCTTGTTTGGATTTGGAAAGAAGTGAGTTAGTGAATAAATGGCTCTGGACACCTTTGAATGGTCAAAAATCTGAGAAGATATTTTAAAGTCAAGAAACGTAAATGCTTTTATTTTTCATTTGTAATATGTAATCTACAGAATAACTAGCCAAATGGTAGTAAATCAGTGTCTTATACAACTTCAATTGTTTTAGTGAATATATATATATTTCTGGAGAAAAGGCAATGTGAATTACAATACTGTTATTCAGAAGAGTGAATTTTGAATAAATCATGGAGTAGACATTCCTTTCTAAAAGTTGTAATGCTTTTATTGTCTTTCATTTCAGCAACCTCTCTCCTCACAGTAATAACAAGTTCAGTGCTTTAGTGATTGAATTATTCCATTTTAACCTGTCTGCTATACCATAAAACATATTACAGGTCACTCAAAAAATAGAGATATTGGAAGAGAGTCTTTACAGTGGCTCTGGCACAAAGAGCAGGTGGTCAGGTTTGGGTTCTTAGGGCAGAAAACTCCAGACATATTAAAGTTTTAGGCTGTCATGCTAAGAAAAAATAGTAAAGATGAACTCTGACATTGGATGGGATCATGATGTCACTTGTGCATCCATGGAAGACTGTGAGGAGCCGAGAGCCTAAAGGTTTGGTCATGAAGCAAAATCAATGACTCTTCACCATGTGAATTTTGTGCTATGTATTAGAAATCCAGTGTTGATATTTCATGGGAAAGTCAACATATAATTCTTGAGACTCCTTAATAAGTTCTAATTTGAGAGAGAAGAGAGAACTATCAGAAGAAACAAAATACGAATGGTACTTAAACTTGATAAATATACAAATTGAACTCAATGGGTTTAAAAAAACTGAAGTCAATGCTGGGCGTTGTGGTGCACATCTTCAATCCCAGCCCTTGGGAGGCCAGAGGTAGGCCGATCTCTGTGAGATGGAGGTTAGCCTGGTCTACACAGTGAGTTCCAGGTGGCCTGGGACCAGGGAAACCTGGCCAAACAAAAACCAACAACAAAACTGAAATTCCATGAACAAAAGAAACCTGAAGACAAAGTTGGGTGTGTAGAGAAGCAGGAAGTGGATCTGGAAGGAATTTTGGGAGAGAGTGAATATGATCAAATAGATTATGTGAAATTCTCAAAGAACTAATAGCAAGTGAGGAAAAAAATAAAAGAGGTCTCTCTGGGAGCTGAGATAGGGGATCAGGACACAATGTAAAGATCTTTAAGTGGAAAAAGAAAATAAAAAATAGTTGAGCATTGTTTGTTGGTAGAAAATAACCAGCTAAGTGTTCGCTGTGTGTCAGCATTAAAAAATGTACAGAATGGCTGGGCGTGGTGGGGCACGCCTTTAATCCCAGCACTCGGGAGGCAGAGGCAGGTGGATTTCTG